TTTGCATGATTTGAATAGGAAAAAAATTAGTGCGCGTAGTCGCGTGTGAGTCCTCGAAGATTCATAGCGACGATTGGAGAGTTGTGAAGATCCCCTGGAGTTGTGACAGTTGAAGGAACTTGGACTCGTCAGTATGATTCCGAGTCCAAACAGGAAGCGATGCAGTGGAAAAAATCGGAATGGCCACCAAAAAAAATTCAAAGTGGGAAAGTCGGCGTCGAAGATAACGGCTACCATTTTCGAAGATAATAAGGGATATACCAATTGAACTTTGGGAAACTCAAATTCGAGTATTGTTTGTTTAGCATAGGAATCGCTGAATAATGGGCTTGAGGCATACTTTTTTGTAACATAACTCGCAAATTTGTTGCGCCTTTCCTTTAATCACATATTATAGCGAGGAGCAGATGTGGTGAACGGATCCTGGATAAGGTGGAGAGCGTATTTTCGTTATTTGAATTGGAGCTTAGCAAAAACAATACATTTATTTTTATGCTGACAAATTAGGTAAAGATGACTAACCGGTGACAATACAAACCCCAAAGCTAGCTCTTTCAAGGCAATCCTTGTGTCAGCCATTAAAGCTCCTCTTTTTTATTATTCTTCTTATCTGTAATATACGAATTGATGCCAGCTGTATTCTGAAGACGACCAGTGGTCATCTCATCTACAGCATCGATGCCATATTAGGTTCTGTTGCTTTCACCCGAACCTTTTTTTGCATCATAGTGGAAGCTAATAGTACCAGTTTATACTTTATAGAACATATTACACTACCATAGAATCTTATTGAAACACAAGAGCTGTGAGCGTCTCGACCTTCGGCTGCCGTAAATACAGGTAAAACTTCGTTTCGGCCCTCACCCAAGGCATAATATATTTTTATACTGTCACTTATTTCTTGGAAACTCTCTCAGAAAGATGCGTTGTTTGCACCCTTACAATTTCTTTCTCTCAAGAACTTTGACTGCAGATTCTCATTGTAAATGTTATGTGTACGAAGAATTAATCAAAGTTAAGTTCACCGAAAAAATTTTTTTTTGGTATTTATTCGTAATCTTTGCCCTTTTTTATTTTCTCAACACAATTGTCATTGATTTAAATGCCTTTCTCAAGCCTATAGATGCACTTCTGAAAACAGTCTTCAAAATCTTGTTGTTTAAGCTTATAAGTTCAACATTCCGCATTAATTGTCTCCTCGTTTGCTGTTAAATACCCTTTTTTTTAATTTTCTTTAATTTTTGGAAATTTCCAAAAATAGAAGGGTGCTATATTTGGAAAAAATATGGTGCTGGACGTATTTCTTCGATCTTAGAGATCGGAATAAAATTACTCGTTATTTTTAGCAGTCTGGGATGGCGCGTTCTCATGATGTAAAAAGTAGCGCCATAAATCCTCTTTCTTCCTGTTCCATGCAAAGTTTTTAAAACTTTTGGTAAGCACTCGTCGATGTACCGTTTTGCAGTTGATCCTTTTCCAGTGGAATAGCAAAAATGACTTTAGATCGGGTGAAGTACAGTGGGATTACTACTTTAGCTGTTGATTTGTGTTGCTTATATTTTAAGTGGGGGTTTGTTCCGGTTGGGTTCCATACCATGCACTGCTGTTTGGTTTCTGGATCGTACTTATAGAACCAAAATTCGTCACCAGTAACGACTTTACTTAAATTGCTAGACTGACCATTTTCGAATCCGTTTAGGATTCGAGCATCTTTCATTTAAAGCTCGGGGTACCCATTGAGCAGATTTTTTCGTGTATCCTAGATGATTACTCAATATTCCCGATACAATCATGGTATTCAAGTCCAATTCATCAATCATTTTTTGTGTCAATAGCGGGTCTTCGTCAATAGTTGAAGATTTTGATTGACTTTGTCTGGGATCGAAATGTGTGGTCTGGAATCTTAGGAACCAAGGACGGTGCTATCATGCCATATGCAATTTGGCATTCACTGAGTATTTCTGTTGTTGTTGTTGGCTGTAAATTACGCCGCAACCCGAAGAGAATCACATGGCGAATTTCTGTTTTCATTAGTGGTGGAATTCCTGACCTATCTTCAGCTATCTTGCGTTTTTCTTGTCCGATGTGGCCGATTGATTTAAAATTTGAAGAGAAGACTGGCAAAGTAATTGAAAAGGATTTGGTATTATTTTTTTTAGATAAAACAAAAGCAGTATGAAAGTCACCAACTGACCGAACTCTTTTCCAGTAAATATCCAGTAAAATATCCCCATCGAGTAAACATACTTCAATGGCAAATTAATATTCTTGATATATCCGTACTTTTATTTCCTGGGAATTGGGTGGGTAGTTGATAGTAGTTTACTTAAAATAATTATATTTTTTTTAAAGTTCGAGAGCCCACTAACAAGAATATTGCTGGATAAGAGTCTTATGTTCAACCTAAGATGTAGATTATTCAAAATAATGGATGAATTCTAAAAATTCTCCAACAGCCCGATTTGGTCACATCGGGTTAAAGTTTTAAGGATCCATCCGTTTTGGGTTTATTACTGAAAAAAAAATTAGACAAATGAAAATTTAATTTTAAATTACGAAAAATTTTGTACATCTACATTCATTATGACGAGATATGAAACTTAAAAACATTAAAGAAAAAAAATTAAATACGGATTTTAATCTGCCACAAACACATCCTTAAATGCATACATTACCATCCTGAGCCACAAGCGCACTAATCCTTTGAAAGGCGGTCAGCGTAAAAATCTCACCAACGGCTACGCTCGCTCATATAAATGCATGAAATATGAGAAAACTTTATGCATGTTTGCCTGAGTGTGTTGTGTTTGACCACAAAAGCAGCGTTCGTGGCGACGTACATGAGTGACCATAATGCGACGGCGACGAGTATGTATGTACATATGTCTGTATGTATGTAATATATTAATGTTGGCTAGAAATGAGTTGGAGTGCAAGCATTTTTGGCACTATGCCGGAAAATGCATTCAAGTGCAGCCAAGTATGACTGGTCATATTAGTTTTGAGAATATATACGGGTATTCTTTAACAATTTTCCTTTGCTACTCATGTATAACCTCCTGTATGGGTTGCATGTGCTCTTGGTCATGAGAGGTATTGAGATTTATCTGTTGTTGGTTTTTGCAGCAGCTAATATCAGCGCTTGCTTTTAATCCTGTTAGCAGCTGCTGTAGCTGGTCACTTTACTTGATTTTTTTTTTTTAATTTTCTTTTTTGCGAATTACATGTGATGGATCAGAAGCAGAAAAGCGCTTTTACAGGAAATAAGCCACGAAAAGTGCTGGCGGTCACAACTGGGATTTAATAAGCATGTTTTGGATATGTCAGATGTGCTTTTGGCGCCTATATTTGAATATCCAAGCCGTTTTGGTAATCGAATATTTTTATAATTTTTTTTGAGCTTTACCCTTAGTGCATACGAAGTTATTATTCGAATCAGTGTGCTTGTAAATGAGGGGATTATGGGAGTTCTTTGCGCTTTGCGTTCGCATACTTGACAGTATATATATGTACATATGTATGCATGCACTCTGATATTATTTACATATGTATATATTTTTCTCTCGTCCGTTCATCTTTCGACCAGTTACGCATTGCAAATTTTCATTTTTTAAATTTCCCTGCTATTCTTTGACATAGAAGGAGAGTGCTTGTATGTGTATGACAGAGGTTATATTCAATGTAAATATAAGCTATTTGAAACTTATGCATATTTTACCAGAGTATTAAAAACGGAGTTGTTCACAATACAATATTAATGCTATGAACTGTACACGAAGTTGGCAAAAGTCAAGGAGTCAAAGAAATTACGTGAATTCACAAAAGTGCATGGAATTTCAATGCAGTGGAAATTGTAATAAATTCTTTGCAGAAGTAATTCTGTCGGGCAAGTGTAGAAAATTGCCAAAATAATTGGCATATTGGGAAAATGTATGTGCCCTAGCGGAATTATATTTATTATTATTTATTGCTTTATTACGAATTTTATTAATCCTTTCTATTTTACTTTTTTGTGAAGAATAAATTTTTAAGTTGTCACAAATATTTAGCTAGATAGTCAAAGATTTGATGGACTATTTATAAAGGGAAAAATTATTTTTTTCTGTGAAATTTGTTTAAAAAGAGACAGTATCAAAGAATTTAACAAAATGAATTAATAGTTGTGCACATAAAAGTCTAATGTTTGATTGAAAACATCCATTGATTTGAAATTTCGTCGGGGAAGTTTACAAGAAAGGAAATTTTCGGTAGGTGGACCATTTCTTATTCGAAAAATTCGTATCTATAGTTCACTATAATTGAAACTTGGTGCATAAATTGCTTTTAGCTTAGATTTACCGTAAAACTATTTTTCATATCGGGAATTGGGCCATGGTCTTTTGGAAAAAATTGCATTTATGATTCGCGTTACCCGATGTTGGGTAAATAGCTGGCATTTTATTAAGATGAGCAGGAAAACTATTCTTCTCTATGGGAAGTGGACCGGGAACTGACCTAATCGAAAAAATCGTATTCACCGTTCACCTTACTTGAAATTCGGTGCATGTTTCGGTTTTCATACATTTCATGAGTATAAGTAATATAAATATCAAATTTTAAAAATTTACAAAATAAAAATAAAAATTAAAATATACATAGTGAAAGGTTTGTGTAATCTTTGGGGAATGAGAATATTTAATCAGAATTTTACTAACTCCGTTACACACAAGCTTTGTGCGATGCTCCTTTTAATCAATCATAAAATTATGGTGAAAATTGTCACAATTAATTAGTACTTTTCTAAACAATAAAATCCTTTCCACTTACCTGTTGTTGACTTTGGCATTATTAATAGTTCAGCGCCTAATAAATTACAAAAATTCAATATGCTATATGTATATGTACAACTCCCATACATATAACCGCGTCGCATAAGTAGCCGATGGAGCCTTGGTAAGAGAATGAAGAAAAATATTTCAAGCAACCATTTGAAAAAGCATATTTTTGTTTGATTTTCGAGTGGCAAATGTATTCGCTCACATTTAGGTGCATAACTTGTACATGGTTATAATGATATATGTATGTAAGTATGAGTTTCACCGGCCGACAATTACCGACACCATTGACCACAACGTTCAAAGTGTGCAAGCAAATAAATCCGCGCATACATACCCAAATATTTTGGGTTCTAACATAAGTTCCTAGAGTTTTTTCACAGAGATTTATTTGAAAAAAGCAATAATTATAATAATAAATTAAACAATGATGGATTCTACGTTACTGTTTGCGACCTCCTACACCTCTCCACCAATTTGTGAATACCGTTTTGCCAAAAATCGCCCGATTTGTTGCCGAAGAAGTTGTTGAGCCAGATTTGAAGGTCCTCTTCGCCATTCAAGGTAACACCCCTCATGTGATTTTACAGGGAGCGGAAAAGTTGAGAATCGGTAGGGGCAAGATCCCGAGAGTAGAGTGGATGCGGAAGAACCTCCACTTCGAGCTCTTGTAGTGCTGTTTTGACGACTTGGTGGGCAAAATGGCGCATTGCGTCGTCATGGAGCAAGATGACTCAGCCGAATAACGTCATGTGCACAATTCAGATGGGCAATGTAGAGCTCCTTGTTGACAGTGGCTTTTCGATCGAGCATTTCCCGGTGCACCATGCCTTCTTAGTCCCACCAAACCCAGATCGTGACTTTTTTAGGTGAAAACTTGACTCTTGGTTTCGGGTTCTCTCCTGCGGTCACCCACTCCTTTCTTTGCTTCACATTGACGTACCATTCCTCATCTCCCGTTAATATTCGATAAAAAAGCGCTTTTTGTGCAGATGCAGAAAATGCTGTTTTTTTCTCTTGGATATTCTATTTCTGGGCCTGAAAAATGTCAAAAAAATTAAATTATCAGGTGTACAACTTCGCTCCTGCCGTTTTCCGATAGGTGGCTATACCGGATGAGGCTGGTTGAAATACATAGATGATAATGCCTTTAAAGTAAGTGTGGACAGTGCCTAACGAATTATCATCGCAGTTTCAGTGACAGTTGTTCTTGTTTTCGTATTATTCACGCTCGAAAATGTCCGTTTATGTGCCTGATTCTCGCCATTTGCGGGAAGTTTTACTTTTCTGTTACAATTCGAAAAAACATGCAGTTGAAGCGCATCGAATGGTCTCAGAAACTTACGGTGATGCTGCTCTGAATGAAAGAACGTGGGGAGTGGTTTCAACGAATATTCACGGCGCCATGGTTATGATTTGTATTTGGTGGGATCAGCTCGGTGTGATTTACTACGAGCTTTTAAAACCGGATGAAACCATTACAGGAGATCGCTACCGAACGCAGCTGATGCGCCTTAGTCGCGCGCTAAATGAAAAGCGGCCACAATATCAAGAGCGACATGACAAAGTCATCCTCCAACACGACAATGCTCGGCCTCACGTCGCAAAATTTTGGAAAAAACGGCGGAATAAAAGTTGTACACCTGATATATAAAAAAAAAAAAGTAAATCAGTTTCGTAGACGAAGAAGAGCTGTTTAGAATGAATATATTCACTTTGCTAAAAAAAAATAAATCGCTGTAAAATTACTCAAAACTCTACGAACTTATGATAAAACCCAATAATATAAACAGCTTTACGTTGCTAATCAAGCTTCAATCTTAGGCATAAAATATTCGGTTACCATGGCACTATAATGGTCGCCATTGACGGTTACATTCTCACCGGCATCTTACCAATGCATCCACCGGCCCACAAATCACTCCAACCCCTTGTTTTTCAGGATGAAATTGCAGCTCTTGAATTTTTTCCATTGAGCCAGATATGGTCTCATCGGTCAACAAAATTTTGTTCGAAAAAGGAGGATCCTCTTGGAACTTTTCAAGAGCGCTTAGAGCGGAACGATGTCGCTTTGGTAGGGTGGGCATATTCAGTTCTTGCACAAGTATAATTTAATATGCTTATATTTTAAGATCTCGACGTAAAAAGCGCCAAGTCGATCCATACGAATCGACTAACCATTTCGCTATATTTTTTTTCATTGTGTGTTGGACGGGCTCTTTTGGTTGAAAATTATCCAATAATCAAAGCTGAGTCTCATTACTGGCTATGGTGTTGCGAATAGTATGCTCAGTAGGCCGATTATGTTGACCATGAGAGCGAAGCACGCGAAAGACATTATTTACAGATCGTGAATTATCGCAATAAAGTTGAACGATTTGTAAACGTGGTTTAATCATAAGTCTTTCCATTATTAAACACCAAACGATACTTATCAAAAATAACGTGAAGACTTGACATGACTCACGAGTGATCTGTAAAAAAATGGCTATTCTTGGTACTTTTACTTAAAAATATCAATAAAAAATATCAATTCATATTGAGGAAGTAAGCCAAACACGCCATTCGGACCAATGTCAATACACACTCACATTGAAAATTTAAGAATAGCTCGTAAGCCACAGCCGCAGAATAAAACAAATGCGATTTTTGCTTTAATTAAAATCATATCAATTTTTTCAATCTTTCGCTGGTCCCTTTCCCGTAAAGATAGTATTATTTATATTTTGGGCAAATCGAACTAGTTTAGATCTTCATTTCCAAGAAAAAAAGTTTTCAATTTAGTCATATCATCCAAAAATTTAAGCAAACTAAACCATAAATTTGTATAATATATGTTTCTCAAATAGATTGATCCATTTCTCTCAACAGAAATAATTCAAATAAAAGGAACTATGAATATGATTTTGTGAAATAGGTTGGTCACTGGAGGAAGTGTAGATGAAACTATAAGTAGAATTTCTTGGAAAAACCCAATACCTAGTCCGCTTTCCGAAACTTTTTTACTTACAAACCTTTTCCGGAACCACAGCAACAAACTGACAAATTTTCAATGTAATTTGCAGGGTAGTTTCGGAAATCACTGAAAACAAACAAATGTTTGTATACATTATACATATTTAATGAATTTTCCACATAATTCACAATGTGTGACTAGCATATATTTATTAGATGCTATTATTAATATTTATCCCTTTGTTCGTTTTGTGGCCGTGCAGCAGTCAGCGTGCAATGAGTGGAGCAGCTGACCACAAAAAATAATATTATTCACGCGAGAAATATGCATCAACACGTAGGTTTACGGTGCAGTGTTATTGTTTCATTAGCTTTAATTTTAATTTTTTATTTCTTTTCTGTTCTGTTTCCATTGGTTTTCATGTTTATGCTCATTTCAGCCACAATGCCGCCAACCGGCTTTTATTGGCATGTTGCCATTAAAACTTAGTTTCAGTCACTACTTCTTTGTTGTTTTCACAGTCTGTAAATGATTGTACAACTGTTCACAGACAGTGTTGTCGTTTTCATTGCGATTAAAGTTAAATCAGAATTGTACTCTTTCATTGGTATTAACATTTTTATTTGCAATGAATATTTATTATTCTGAAACAGAGATATCGAGAATCGAGATCCAAAAAAATGCCTAACTGGAAGCCATAGAAATTTAGAACCAAAATTCATGGGTAGTAGAAGCATGTTTCCATCTATGCAACTTTTCACAAATTCGTATGAATTTACAAACGAAGCTCATAAAAAATCGTGTGCGTAATAAAAGAAATGAAAAAAATTAGGAGAGTAAACTTCTCTTTATATTTCTCCTATGATATGTTTTTAGTTTTGCTAGTTTTATTTCCTCTTTTTTGTATATATTCTTCTCTAAGGTCCCTTTGAAAATATTCGAATTCATTTTATTATAATTTTTATGTTGATTTTACTTTGCTCAAAAATTTCGCACAGCAACACTGTTTGTATACCACAAAGCGTTTTACGGTGCATGACAATATTCGCAGTAAATAGAGACAATTAAGTCGCGGTTAATTGCACATGTTACACATAAATACATAAACAAATGTAAAAAGATAGTTAACAAAAAGTGCAAATTAATAATTGAATATGTTTGTTAATCATACGCAGTGGCGGTCTAATTTTTCAGTAATTAAATCATATTTCATGCGAAATTATTTTACCCCAATAAATTTAATGAACTCTACTCGGATTCGAGACGAGCAACTATTTTTGAAAAGGTCTGAAAAGAACTTTCTGAAATAATATAAAAAATAAGAATATTTTAAAAAAGGAAGGATTTGAAAAATATTTTTCAAGAACTATTTAGTTTTTAGTAATTTTTCTATAATAAAAATAAAATATTTTCTGTGGGTCTGAATTTTTTTTAGTATTTTTATCAGTAGTAATATTTGTATCAAATTTTATCAGCAAAGCTTTAAAAGTTAACCTATTTTATTTTGAACATATGTAAATCATAAATAATATTTCCATCGAGTTTTTTTTTTGACTCGTTGAGTATTAATATTATATTAATATATATACCGTGTACACATTTTTTATTTCAAAATGTTTTATTGAATATTTTTTTTCAGAAACTTTTCAACAATTATCTTCAATACATATGTATACATAAAAATTCTCCAATACGGCACATATAAATGCGGCAGAGCCCTCAATCATATTTCAAACGTAAATCTTTTCTCTTTAAATGCTTTGGTGGGTATGCCGTAATAAGGTTTTAGCTAGAAAGTTTGATTGGTAGGGTAACTTTATTTAGTAATTGTAACGCAGTTTTTCTGTCTCACGGGATCGTTGTGAATTGTGTAGTTTTCCACAAAGAGTTTTACATATTGTTCCCTGGGTTTTCGACCATGGCTGCTTCTAACTGCACATTTCACGTTAATCAGAAAATTTACACCCATTCGATTGAAACATTTGAAAAAGCATACGCTAAGGCAGTTGCCAAAATAAAATCCTTTTCATTTTTACCTGAAACATTATGTCTTAATGTTAAATCATTAATGATTGACGCTAAAAGCCTATGTCCACCAAACACTTAAATGCATTTAAGGCCTCTGTTAAGTGTATGAAATGTAAAACGCTTCCACCGAAAGTGAGTTAACTCAAACAGCTGACTTTTGTTTACATTTGTCATTTGCAAAATTTGTGCAAGTGTTGAAATCATGAATTCAAGAGATCGCATTGATTTTATTTTGCTATTTATGCAATATTATAATTTGCAAGTGCAGATTATTGCTGAACGACGACCGCTGCAGAAACGAAAGTACTTTGATACATGTTTTCATTTTCACTTTTGCTTATTTATTTCCACAAATTATTTTCTTTGCGCAATCAGCTGTTAGCTGCCAAGGCATATTTTTATGTTGAAGGGATTGTTTGCAATTCCACAATTGCTTTTTGTGTGTTTTTATATATATGCATATGTATGTTAAAACTAATGCAAAGAAATAATTTTTGCTGATGAAATTTTACTATGCAAAATAAAAGACTCACCCCTCATCCGAAAATTCACGAATCTGGCAAGAAATATTGCAATACTTCCGAAATGCTTACATAAGTAGTGGCAGTATCGCCTGTTAACATTACCGGTAAAATTACCGAAAGTGATTTAAGGGGACCCTCCCCTGATTTTGGATCAAAAAATTTCTTTTTTTTACGCAAAAAATGAAAGCCATATATTTGTAGAGTAAACACTTACTTAAGGGATTTGCTAAACGATATTTTTCAAACAGCAGCTTGTCGAATACATCTGTCTTACGCAAGTACGCACGCAAGGCAAGCTTTCAAAAAACGTTGAGCGCGTTTTTCTAGAAACTGGTGTTCTCCGAAGTAACTTCAAGCTCCGGGCTTGATCTATCCGTCCGATTTCTTTCATATAAAAACTGTTTTAAAGTATATAGTTTTTTGTACTCTTTGAACCTAAGATTAGCATTATTGACTAGTTATTTATATTTTTTAATGTAATTGAAGTAAAAAAGGGTAGCAAAAAATTTAACTTTATAATAGCAATGAGC